GCCTCTTACCAAATGTAGAGACAAATTCTTCAGGTAAGGAGGTCACATTCGCGTAATTCTCCACCATGACCTTTTTATACAAGTCCTTTTGCTCTGGGTCCAGCAAAGCCCCCTGGCTCTCCGTGAAATAGACGGCCACGTCTTCAAAGGCCACAAGCCCCTGAAACAACAGAGACCCCCCCTTCTCAGTTTCCACAGTGCCTCTAAAGCAGTGGTTCCCCATCTTGGGTCCCCAGATATTCTTGGACTACAACTCCCAGAAATCCTGGCCAGCACAGCCCACGGTGAAGGCTTCTGGGATATTTAATTCAAGAACATCTGGGGACCCACACTTGGGAACCACTGTGAGGTTCGGATGCAGAGGGAAAACACAAAGGAAACTCGCCCAGGTCAACATGGACTTCCCTACTTCTACAGAGTTCTGCTGATCTGCCCTCTTCTAGGTCTTTGGCTTGCAGTCAAATATTTATCAAACAATGCCCAAAAAATAATCACAGAGCCCTAAATGATGAACATTAAGCCGCATTTCAGGCGTATGCTTTCAAAATGCAAGTGTGGTGATCAGAGAACAGAAGGTTTACTCCATGTGTGTTGAAATCTAGCAAACTGGATGGTATTTATTGAAGCAACTTTCTCTTTGGTATGATCAGTTCCTCTTTACAGTGGGGGTGGGTGTTCAACACATATGATCTTCCTGATACAGGATAATTTGTCATGTGCTGCTTGTCCAGATTACTACTGCAACCACCTTCTATTAGGAGCCCCATAGATAGGCAAATTTTCTCTGTGATACGCAACACTTTGTGAATCATAGGGTGTTGATGAAATTTCACATTTTTGAAATACAAAAAATGTCAGCCATGGCCATCTATGTATTTTGTACCTGCATCCGGCAGGCAGGCTCCTTTACAGAATGCGCCTCTGCCACAAGTTCAGGTGAAGGCTATGAGAAAATTTGACTATTCAAGGCATATGTGACTCACTGATTTGAGAGAGAAATACCACAGTGAAACCTCTTGAGTGTTCGATGCTGAGGATCAGCGAAAAAGGGGGAGGGTTGACTTTCAGTCTGGAGAAGATAGTGCTGGTTTAAACCAATAACGCCCTAAACGACTTTGGTCCAAGCTATGTAAAGGACTGTGTTTAGGGCAGTGGTTCCCAACCTTGGGCCTCCAGATGTTTTTGGACTACAACTCCCAGAAGCCTTCACCACCTCTGCTGGCCAGGATTTCTGGGAGTTGAAGTCCAAGAACATCTGGAGGCCCGAGGTTGGGGATCACTGGTTTAGGGGCCTGCCCTAGGGATTTTCGGGGGGGAACTTTCACTCAATCCCACCACCTTCACAGGTGTGCTTGGTGGAGACACAAGACAGGTCCTTCTCTGTTAATGCTCCCAGACTCTATAACTCCCTCCCACAGGGGGCCAGAGTGGCCCCGTCTTTGTTTTCCTTCTACAAGCAGAAGAATTCTTTCCTCCTTTAAAATGTATCTGTATACTTACAGTTTTTAGCTTTTAAATATTGTCTTTTGATGATGTAAGCTGCCTTGGGTCCTCTTCAAAGAGAAAGATGGGGTAAAAAAATATTAAAGAAATAAGATAAACCAGGTGGACCTTTGGTTCTGAACCAGCACAGACCTTTCCATGTTTTCTGTGAGAGGGAAATGAAGGAAGAGATGTATTGGATCCCCTGCTGGTTTCTTTCTCCCAGTACTGGCTTCTTTCTCCCAGTACAGGGAGCACCCCCTCTGTCTTTCCCTCTCTCCATCTCCTCAATGACTCCCAGAAGATCTCCTACCTGGTGTGGCTCACCAATCATTTTTTGCTTTGTCCTGGAAAGTGGCCACAATCGTGGTTGAGACTTGGATGTCATTCTTCACTTCCTGAAGGTAAAGGAGGGGAAAAAACTTTAGAAACAGAAATCTCCACTCTTTCTGGCTCAAACAGAGCAGGATTATTTTTTCCATCTTCATTGGCACCTGTCATAACTGGGGAAAAAGAAAGGATGTTATTCTCAAGCATCCCAACAACTACAGCTGGAAACTCAACTGAGTGAGTTGCAAGAGAATAACTCAAATCTGTGAACTGCCACTAATTTAAAAAGTCCCCAAATGAATTCCTAGCTAATTGAATTAGGTTTTCCATCAAGGACAATTAATTAATGGAAAACCTAATTCAATTAACTAGGATTAATTAGCAGCTTTTTGCTACTTACACCAGCATAAATCAAGTGGATTCAATTCATCTTGTCTAGTAAACTGCTTTATGCCAAGTCAGAGAATCAGTTCTACACGTCAGAGCTGTTTTATCATTCAAGCTGGAAATGGGCCACCAAGATCTAAAACAGACACCAGAGCTCCTTTAAACTCAAGACGGCTGGGATCAAACCTGGGATCAGCTGCCTGAAAAACAGGCTTTCTCCTCCTGCTTCGTCAGAGGAGGTCCCTATCGCTGCTACTTTCATGAAGGGTTTTGGGGGTGAGGGATTAAACCCTGGAGAGCCACTGGCACTCAAGCAATACTGAGCAAAATGGACCAATGTTTATATTGGAAAGAAGGCAATCACACAAAACCACACAATCACCACGAACAACTGGTTGCGTGTTAGCATCACAAGCGAATATTATGACTGTGTAGCAGTTTCCAATGAATTGTTCCAGATGTCAGACAGTAAAACACTATGAGAAAATATATCGGTGGGTCACAAAATCTAAAGGTTGAGGTGACAATAAACAACAGGCAAGTTTAACAAAATAGTTGAACATTATTTTCGGCTACGTCTTTTGAAGAACACTGTTCCATTTCATTTCAGCTATTCACCAGTTTTGCAAACTGGAGGAAAAAAGGAAAGATTCTTAGAGGAATACAAATTTCGTAGTATACTGGTTTGTACTTTCGGGCCAGCTTCAGACTTTTTTTGCAAGTACGTCCAGCCAGCTCCTCGTGCGCTCCTTTTAGGGGGAACTTTCCTCCCCATCGCTCCCAACCAGCACCATTCAAAAAAGGGCAGCAAGCAAGCGATCAGAGGTAGCAAAAGGGCGGAAAGAGAGGCGCTGCTTTCCCCCGCCGCTCCTGCCCATCATCTCCGGGGTCAGGGAGAGGGCTCTCCGTGGAGGGCCCACAGGCGGGGGTGTGATCCTGGCAGACGTTGCCGTTGCTGGGAAATATTACCATGAAACTCCCGGTCCTTCCAGTTCTGCGACGCCGCCCTCCGAGTTTACCTGCACGAGTGGTGGGAGGGAGCCAAAGATAACCCCCCCGAGCAATTTTGCAACGGCTTCTAACATGCTCCCTTTTCCAGGCTAGCCAATCATGCATCCCGATGATAGACAAGCTTTCCTACCGTAGCCAATCAGATGAAAGGATGCTTAAAAGACTCGCGAAACTTCCCAGTCGCTGCTGGGAATTGTAGTCCTTCTGTCTCCCATCCAGAGACGGGGGGGCGGTTTCTTCTCCTCTTTCCATCTTATTCTGCAATGATGCGTTGTTCCACCCTCCTTCAGAAACACTTATCAAATGTATCTGGTGTTTTTCCCTGTCTTCATTGAGCAGCTTTCACATCCACACAGGATAATACAACGTTCATTTGCTATATTCCTCGTTTAGTGTCTAGTTTTCTGGCTGCTGAGCCGGAGGTTGCGGGTTCGATTCCAATCCCCACTTTGACTTCTCTGGCTGCAGAGCAAGAGGTTGGGGGTTCGATTCCAGTCCCCATTGTGACTCTTTGACGGGCTGGATTCGATTAGCCAGAGGGTCCCTTCCAGATCTGCAGTTCTAAGATGTTGATGCTGGTTCCAATTCTCCAAATTTTGGCATGATAATTTATATACAGTAGTATATAAATCATATGCAATTTAAATACAATACAAAATTGCAGGCAGAGCAAGAGGTTGGGGGTTCGATTCCAGTCCCCATTGTGACTCTTTGACGGGCTGGATTCGATTAGCCAGAGGGTCCCTTCCAGATCTGCAGTTCTAAGATGTTGATGCTGGTTCCAATTCTCCAAATTTTGGCATGATAATTTATATACAGTAGTATATAAATCATATGCAATTTAAATACAATACAAAATTGCAGAACACAGTAATTAACACACATTTTTCATGTAATACAAATGAAGTACATTAACAGTTCAAAGGGCCGTATCAAGACAAACATGTGGAACAAGTTCCTTCTTAAGGTCTTTCGAGAAATTTAAAATACTCAGCCACTACCAGCTCAGCAATAACTAAAATAGTTAGGCATCCTTCAGTCTCGAAATACTATGGTAACGTGCTCTGTATGAAGGATAAAATAATTATTACTTATTACTAAAAACCTATTACTAAAATAATAAGTAAAATTTTATAATAACTTTGCTTCCCACTCCTCCATTTTTAATGTATCTATTTGTTCTCGGCCAGTTGTACCTTCTGTCAACACAGAACCTGGTTCAGCTCTCAACTAAGCTCTCAAAAACGGATATAAACTGACTTGTAGAGTTGGAAGGAGCCCCAAACATAATCAAATTCAACTCACTACCAAAGTAGGAATTGCAAATAAGATGCATAATTTCACAGCTTTGAAAAGTTCCTTTTTTGAACTGGGATTTCCAAAGTCCCCCCCCCCCCCCCCAACATGCATAGCTATGGGTTAATGGCTTTCTAGGTATCTGGTTGTGAAGCCAGATGATGGGAATTTGATTCCCCGCTGTGTGTCCTGTGAGTACAGCCAGCCTAGTTGGCCTTGGGCAACCTTCACAGTTCTAGGGGCAGAAGAAGGAAACAGTAAACCACTTCAGAGTACTCTCTATCTACCTAGGAAACTCTGAAAAGTCAAACTGACTTGGTGACACATGACTATTATTATGCATTGTGTGCATAGAAACAGTGCGGGTACCTCTGCAAACAGGTTTTTCCAAACTGATTTCAACAGTATTCAAGGTTGCAACATTAAATTGAGAAACTGTGGGCGGCATCAGTTTGTTGGCTAACCTTGTGGAAAGTAGGATAAAGCACTGCCTGTTACGTCCAGTTCTAGAAGTGCTAGAGTCTCAACTTTCTGTTTACAACCTTGGAATCCAAGCCAGATGATAGTCTAAAACTTAAGGGAGCTGGGTGGCAGCTGAATAAATCAGTAATATAACCATTGTAGCAAGGAAGGATCTTGGTCTTTGTTTCCATACTTTGATACTTCCAGATATTTTGTACTTCCTTCACAGCTGTCCTTCTGAGTCTCAATCTTAGCTGCGGTCTCCACTGAATTAAGGTATGGAAATTTTAACTATTTAAATTTCTTCACTGTCAGCATTCAAACTGCATAACTATTCTCGTGTGTGTGTGTGTGTGTGTGTGTGTGTGTGTGTGTGTGTGTTTTATTGGCCACCTTTCTCCCGATAAGTGGAGCCAAGGCAGCTCACAATATTAGTAATTATGTTATGTGTAATTATTAAGCATGTGCTCTCATTTTCATTCTCTGTTTTGGGAGTTTCACCTGCCAGACTGACACCCACCTGGACTAAATCCCAAAATTCTCTGTTTTGGGAGTTCCACCTGCCAGACTGACACCCATATTGTGCTCATCTGGAGGAAGACTGGGCTAGAAAACCTTGAACCTAGCACAGAGTGGTCACGATGACCAGATAGGTGGGATACAAATAGAATAAATAAATAAATAAACTGTGAATGAATGAATGAATGAATGAATGAATGAATGAATGAATGAATGAATGAATGAATAGTTCTCTTGGAAAAGGAAGGCACCCAATGGTTGCTGGGAAAGGGGGATTGATGGGAGCTGTAGTCCAGAGGTCTTTAGCACCTTCTTACTGATCAGTAGGCAAGAATTTACTGGGAAGTTTGAGGCCCAGCATTTACCTTTTTCCAGATCAGGTGCAGATCAGAAAGAAACCAAAAAGGAGCTGGAAAGAAGAGAACAAACTGGAATCAGCTTTTATGAGGTTTCTTTCTCTACAGGAAATCTTGTGCCCATCATATGGCAGATCCAGGGTGACATGTGACCAAAGCAGAGTTTGCTACCTTGTTTCCCCGAAAATAAGGCAGGGTCTATACAGTATTAACTTTTGCTCCAAAAAAAAAACGCATTAAGGCTTATTTTCAGGGGATGTTTTATTTTTTCATGTACAACCCTCTGAATTGATTCAAATACAGTCAGGTTATCTTCTTCTGGTTGCTGCACGATGGTGGAAGGCGGGGTTTCACTTAAAGGGGGCTTATTTTGGGGGTAGGCTTATATTACGAACATCCTGAAAAAATCATACTAGGGCTTATTTTCAGGTTAGGTCTTAATTTTGGGGAAAACAGAGTATCTTGCCAAGAAGGAGCTAAATGGAAACACACTTACCAGCCAGGGATGAGGCGCTGTGCCGAAGCAGCAGTGTCCAAAGGTCAGAACTGAGATAATTGCACGGAGGAATCACCCATTTCAGCTGAAAATTAAGATACAAAATTAAGAAAGTGGGAATATCCTTTCTGCCTCTGCTGATGTCAATTTCAGCCCTGTGTCATGTGGACACAAGGAAACATATCACTATCATAGGTCGATGGAAAGCTTAACAAATGCTCAGTGAGGATGAGCTCTCACAGAAATAATCAGAAAGAGAGGGCAAAAGACCATAATAAAAATATAGTGACCAGGAATATTAAAGGAGTTAAGAGGGAGCAGGAGAGACTCCAGATCAGAAAGACTCACAAAAGACCTGCTCCAGCAATTAAGGTTGGAATTACAGGAGGACTAGAAGGCCATCCTATCGCCTTTCAATAAGAAATGATCAGTCCTACCTGGAAAATTAACCAGCATAAAAACAATAACCAACGACACTGAAGATCGCAGTCTGGACTCTTAACATATTGTTGGAAACATGCACAAAATGACTGGAAGTTTGCAATATTGAAGACCTGCAGAATAGAAATTGCCACAGAAATGTAAGATTTCATCCAGTAAGAGCAAGGTATAAGTACCTTCTCGACAAGATCTATGCCCAGGGCTCAAGGTCAATAACCAAGACATTGAACAAGCATACAAAGCATATTTCCAGTATAAATATAGCAAAGTCTTACTGGTACAAGACATTATATCAGAGACCCTAAAGCAGTAGTTCCAAGACTTGGGTCCCCAGATATTATTGGACTAAAACTCCCAGAAGCTTCTACCACTAGCTGTGCTAGCCAGGATTTCTGGCACTTGTAGTCCAAGAACATCTGGGGATCCAGGATTGGGAACCACTGCCCTAAAGAAACACAAGGGATGGAGACCAGTCACAGAGCTATTCAAGAAGCAAGGAACTCTGTAAGGAGAATGGAATGGTGAAAAAAACTGGTTTGGTAGCAGTAGATCGGGAAATGAATCTATGAACTCCAGCTCGGAAATGAATGCTGAAGTCACAATAGGCAACATCTTTAAACCATTTTAATGTCCATATAAGATAAAGGTCCTTTGGATTTAATCTCCAAGGAGTCATACTGAATTAGAACTGTGCAGGAAAAGCCAGCTTTTGTAGCCTTGGGAAAGATACAGTGTTGTAAAGGACCACTTGAAAAGGGGGAAAAATCTGTGCCTAAGAAACCCTGGCAAGAGTTGTCATAAATTGGAATCAACTTGATGGCGCTTAATTCATTAATTATAAATATACAAATGATTTATTCCACTGAAAAGAGTGGTGTTTGGGCTCAATCACACATGAGAAAAGAACCCCAGTTATACTAATACATTTCATCCCTCTGTTGTACCAATATTTTCCCCCAGCAGCCACATGGTTCTGTTTGAACTGTTGGGAAAGTGTGAGGGCAAGAGGAGAAGGGGGACGACAGAGGATGAGGTAGTTGGACAGTGTCACTGAAGCTACCAACCTGAATTTGACCTGCCTGCCTGCCTGCCTGCCTGCCTGCCTGCCTGCCTGCCTGCCTGCCTGCCTGCCTGCCTGCCTGTCTGTCTGTCTGTCTGTCTGTCTGTCTATCTATCTATCTATCTAGTATTATATATACTATATATGAGCAAGAGCTTTTACATTGTTTATAACTGTATTGATTCATTATATTTGAACTGTTATAGCAGTCTACACTGCTCTTTAATTTTGTATCAATTCATTTTCTCTACTGTTTCTTGGACAATCAGGCCCCCTCGTCCTTTTTTTTTAATTACCAAAGTTAATATATTGATGAAGCTTTATAAGCCTTCTATCCTCCTCCCCTTTTCTCTTCCCTCATTTACTCATTCATCCCCTTTTCCTTATTCTCCTGCATATTCCTCCCTCTCAGTTCATGGCTTTCATTTTTCTTTTCCCTGTTGCATAGTGTTGGGAGGAGGAACCAGGTTTTTAAAAACTTGCAAAGTATTGTGAAGAGCAAGGTGAAAAACGCAATACTCCTTTATTTACAATTTACAATTTAAAACAGGAAATCTCAAGCCCTCTTTCATTTGCAAGGGGAGGGAAGGCTGTCTCTTTTTGAGCAATCATGTTATGTTGTTTTTGTAGCAGCGGCTACTAGTGATTTATCGATATCCCATTAATTTTTTTTTAAAGAGTACAAGCACAGTGGCCATGAAGTGGCCACAGAGCCCAGAAACCCAAACCTCTTGCAAAGGAAATAAATCAACAGCAACATTCTCACATGCTGAAATGATGAGGAATGAAGCAATATATCATCAGTACAATTTAAAACGAATGAGAAATAAACAAATTGCTGGGGCAAATGAATCAATGTTGGATGTGTGTCATGTGACTGGAAATTTATGAAACAATCCAACTAAAGCCCTAACTGGTATAATTGGCATTCTTTTGCCAGGTGTGATTGAGCCCTTAGTTTTAGTTGTGTTTTGCTGTTTCCAAACAATGCAATCTAAAATTTATAATTTGTCTGAATTTTTGTAAGCTAATGTATTGACATAGGGACATGATGGCGCTGCGGGTTAAACCACAGAAGCCTCTGTCCTGCAGGGTCAGAAGACCAGCCGTCGTAAGATCGAATCCACGTGACAGAGTGAGCTCCCGTCACTTGTCCCAGCTCCTGCCAATCTAGCAGTTCGAAAGCATGTAAAAATGTGAGTAGATAAATAGGTACCACCTCGGTGGGAAGGTAATGGTGTTCCATGTCTAGTCACGCTGGCCACGTGACCATGGAAACTATCTTCAGACAAACGCTGGCTCTATGGCTTGGAAATGGGGATGAGCATTGCGCCCTAGAGTAGGACACGACTGGACTAAATGTCAAGGGGAACCTTTACTTTACTTAATGTATTGATTGCTATAGTAGGATTTTGTTTTGTTTTTTTTAAGATACAAGTTTAAGAAACCATGGTATAAAAGGTATAAAATAACACAAGTGCTTCTGAAGGGAAGATATATGTGAATAATATGTAGAACAGTATAAGGTAAAGGTTCCCCTTGACAATTTTTGTCCAGTCGTGTCCGACTCTAGGGGGCGGTGCTCATCCCCGTTTCCAAGCCATAGAGCCAGCGTTTTCTCCGAAGACAATCTTTCCATGGTCACATGGCCAGTGTGACTTAGACATGGAACGCTGTTACCTTCCCACTGAAGTAGTCCCTATTTATCTACTTGCATTTGCATGCTTTCAAACCACTAGGTTGGCAGGAGCTGGGACAAGCAACGGGAGCTCACTTGTACTTAAATTGGAAAACCAAATAGAAAAGGTAGAAAAATATGATCAGAGGATGAAGGAAGACTTGACAGGTGTTGCTAATAGCAATAATCTTAGAATTGCAGAGCTAGAAGTTACTCTGTGGATCACCAAGTCCAGCCCCTGTCAAGGAGGCACAGTGAGGAACTGAGCTCCCAGCTTCTGGCTCTGTAGCCAGATACCTAAACCGCTTGGCCTATCCAGGATGCAGAAGACAGAGAGAATTTTTTTCCATCCTTACTTCTGCAACTTACTATATAATTCTATAGCTCAAGTTATCCAGGAAAAGCTATTGGTCAGAGACTAAGGACATGGAAAAATAGAAAATTCTGCTCGTATAAAATGCTGGTGCTCAGTCCCAGAGATTTGTTTTGTACCAGCATTACTTGTAGGATTTCCTGGGAGTGGCAGTGGTGGTGGTGGGAGGAACAGGGAAGACCACATCTGCCCATCCATTTGAACATTACCACACCTGGATGTAAAGTACCGAATGTGTGTTCCAGTGTGTAGTGTGTCTGTCTCCTGCCCTGCTTTCTTCATTCATAATGGAAGTTTGGTTTGATGGTCTTTGTAAATGATGTTCTAACAAGAATTGTAAATGGAACAGGAACACCTGGGTCTTTGACCCAGGGTGCTGAAATTTAGAGGGCAGGAAAAAAAAAATCTCAGCTGGAAGGGCATGAATCTACTCCTTTTTAGCACATGTACTCCCTTCAGCCACTCTTCCCTTGGCAGAAGGAAACACAAAAGAGACAAGAACAAGTATGGCCATCACAGACCCAGAGATTCCTCTCAATCCCTCCATTCTGCCCCCCACCCCCGTTTAAGCCAGTCTCACATGACTCAAACTTAACCAATCTTTTTTTAAAAAAAGAATTCTCACATTGTGCTGGGTCATGAACAGGTCAGAGGATGCCCCCTCCCCATTATGAGGCCAACAACTCACATCTTCCGTGCAGCAGATGTGTGGGTTGTAGTTCCTTGTGATCCAGACATAAACTTAAAAGAGGAAGGATGTATTGCTAATCCTGTGGTTGTTTTCAGATGACATCTGTGACAACTGAAGGCTTCTTTGCACCAAATTGTGGTAGTGGGGTTGGCCTTGCATCAACAGTTATGTAATTTCTAGGGGGGGGAAAGTCCGTACTATTTTTGCTAAAGCGTTAGTCAGAGGAACATCTTCCATTTCCATTCCACAAGCAGAAGACCAGACTTTCAGGAACCACCTTGCCTACAAAGTCTGCTGCTACCTCTCCAGATTCCTTTGAAAACCAGCCTGGAGGAAATATCAGATGGAGGACGAAGAGGGATACATGGCGATCGATCCAGCGCGAAGAAGTGTCTACACTCTGCCGCCAGCTCCCCAAAAGACAGAAGGTATTGACAGAAGCAGAATTGTGTTTAGACTTATAAGAGTCGGGAGATCCAGTTTCAAAACCCTGTGGCTCAACCATAAAGTTCCACTTGGGCCAGTAATTTTCTTTTCTTGCTAATTTAACTCGCAGACTCATCATGAAAGAGGGAAAGCAACTATAAATGTACCCTGAGGTGTTTCAGGGAAGAAGTGGCAAGAATGAAACATCGTATATTTGTGCTCTAAACAACATGCTATGAGATATAGTATGCCAGCAAATGTGCTTGTCTTCCCCCCTCCGGAGAGGATTAGGCCCATTCTCACCCAAGTTCCCCCTCTCTTATCTCCCCCATCCCAAATTCTCTTTCACCACCACCCCTTCTCTCTCCCCTTTTCTCTCTCCACCCTATCATTCAGCATATTCCAGGGATGATGCCCTGTCAGTCCTTTCTCCTAACTCCATCTCTCTCCCGTGTCTCCACCAAACGCACCTGTGAAGGTGGTGGAACTGAGAGGAAGGCCAGCAAAAAAGAACAGCATTATCATCCTCTCTTCTTCTTATTCACTATTTTCCCCCTCCATTGCTTCTTTTTTTCTATTCATCCAGTATTTGCAGGATAGAAATGTGACTTTCTTAGACTATACAAGTCTCAGAATTTGCCTAGTCAGTGAAAGAATCCAGTTATTCAAGTTGGAAAACCAGTACTTATATGTGCAAAAATGTGCTAATGGCTTTTACTGTTTTAAAGGTCTGTCTGTTAAAAGACTACGACATCCAGATTGCGTTAGTGCAGCTTGTTGAGAGATAACCCACCCAGTAGCATAAGGTTTCTTGGCACCTGTACAAAATTTCATATTTCTAGTTCTTCACATTTCAGAGGTCTTTCTAGGGGTGAAATAATACTCTCCACTGTCAGGAGATGTTGTGCACAGTCCACAGCACCCACCCAGATTAAAACAGTAGAAAAAAGAACAGTCTGTAATGGGGCCATGTGTGACAAAGTGGGATAGCACGAGTTTGCGGGTAACCCACAGCAAAGGACGTTCTTCCAGCCTAGGACAGACTCAAATAGTCAAATAAATGTTCTGCTGCATGGATAAGTTAATACATACATTTAACATTGCCCAGTTTACAATAGGACTCCCTATCTGCGGGATCATTATCCGCTGATCCACTTATCCACTGAAAATACTAAATTAAAAAA